GGCTCACACACAAATAACTATGCTAGAAGTTACAGCTTGTCATGTGCCATGGGCCCCAATAACACATCAAGGCAGAAATCAGCCCCTTCAGAGAGGGTGTAGTCAAAAACTTCCAGAAAAGGCTTTAGTGGTAACCCTTGAGATGGGGCTTGAAGGGTAGGGATGGATTTTCATGTTCAGAGAATTAGGCTGAGGATGGGGCACAGTCAATCCTAAACTACTGCCATTGCCCTGGTGAAGCTGGCAAGTAAATGTTTGACTGTTAACCACAAGGTGGTTGCTCTAAAGCCATCCTCTCCCATAAAGACTTAGAGCCTCAGAAACCTGATATAAGGATGCTCTGTGACAGCGGGTTTAGTTTTGGCTTGCTAACCACAAAGTCTGTGGTTCAAACCCACAAGTTACTCCCTGGGAGAGGTTAAGGCAATCTATCTGCTTAAAAACTTACACAGCCTCGATGGTAGTGGTTTGGGCTTGTGACAGTGTTGTAAAAGACCCTTGGTGCTGTGAGTTAAAGCATTGGGTTGCTAAGTTTGAACCAACCAGTAGCTCTTCAGGAGAAAGACGAGGCTCTCTTCTCCTCAAAAGTTTACACCCTTGAAAACCCTAGGGAGTTTTGCCCTGCCCTCTAGGTTCACTAAAAGCAGCCCTGTGGTGTAGGAGGCTACACATTGAGCTGCCAACCATAATGTCAGTAGTTTGAATCCACCAGTACCTCCTCAGGAGAAAGATGAGGCTTTATGTTCCCATAAAGGTTTACAAGCCTCAAAAACCCAGAGGCGTAGTTCTACTCTATCATACAGGGTAGAACTACGCCTCCGAATCAACTCGAGGACAGTGAGTTTCTGGTGTTGTGGGACAAGGACCAGCTGCCACATCTAACGGCTGGGGTTTCAAACTCACCTGCAGCCCTGGGAAAAATTGAGGTTGTTGGTGCCTGTAAAGATTTATGGTCTCAGAAACTCGAAGGCAAAGTTTTACTCTGTTTTATAAGTTTACGATAAGTCAGAATCTACTTGATGGCAGTGAGTTTTGTCCTTTTCAGAAAGGATCCTTGGTGATACTGTGTGCGGGTTAAGCATTGGGCAGCTAACTACAATTTGGTGGTTGAAAAGTACCAGCAGAAGAAACATGTAGCAGTCTGATTTCAGAGATTACAACCTTGGAAACCCCGTGGGGTAGATCTTCTCACTATGAGCTGAAACTGATTTGATAGCAATGGGGAATCCTCCTCAAGGAATCCTGGTGGTGTGATGGTTAAGCACTTGGCTGCTACCCAAACTTCAAAGTTGGTGGTTCAAACCCACCTAGATTCATGGAAAAAATACCTAGTGATCTGCTCTCATAGCAATTACAATCTAAAAAACCCTTTGGGCAAGGCAGCTCTGATTAGTGACCCCAAGAGTAGCCACATGAGTCACTAGGAACTGAAATCAACTTGATGTTACTTAACAGCAATCCCTTCTCAGGTTCAAAACTATTCCTGTGCTCTCTTTCCCTCATTTGCTACCTTCCTCTGGTGGTTCAAACCCTCCAGCTGCTCCCAGGGAGAAAGTTGAGGTGCTCTGCTACAATAAAGATGTACAGTCCCATAAACACTATGTAAAGGGTTTCTACAAGTCAATACGGACTGATGGCAATGAGTTTCTGCTTTACCCTTCTTAAAATCAAGTCAAAACAAAACAAAACAACAACAAAAAATTTCGATTGGCATATTTTTTGTAGCTTTCCCTCATATCTTTATTATTCCCACTTCCTCCACAGATACCTTAGACTGACAGAAGAGCCAGCATCGTCCTTCCCATTTCCCTTGCTGTCTGTGCTCTTCGTTTTACGGAGGTTACTACTAATCACCATGGGCTTACAGGGAAAAGTAAGTACTGGAAAGTTAGAGTCTTCTTGATCTTGCAAGGTTCAAGCTGATTTCTTTCCAAGATGGTTAGTTGATAGGTCAGTTGGATTTGTGCTATTTACTTTGTTTTTGAGGGTGGAGTTCACCAAACATCTTCAGTCCTTCTAACCTAGTTCTAGGCTCCTCAGCCAACCTTCTGGCTCAGAGGCGTCCACCCTTGCCTGAGCCAGGGGGGCAAGAGGTGACCATGAAATGTGTAAGAAGTCAGACAGCTTTGAGACAGTTAAAGGAATTTCAGGCCTTTCCAGGCCACACATTCTACCACCTAGGATCACATAGGTATCCTGGGTAGCAGGATAGAGCCTCATCCCCTCATGGTCATTAGCATCTCTACAGAGCCTCAGCCCAGGTGACAAAGGTTTCCACTCTTCCCCAGAACCATGGGATTGAGGCATTGCAACTTTCATGAAAAGGGCATTTTAATATGCACAAATATCACTGGCAAAATGTGTTAGGGCTTTGAGGAGTTAAGACCCCAATCTGCAGGATGCTTTCGGTTGCACGCAATGGCCAAAGTTACATTGTGGAGTGAAAGAGTGGAAGCCTCAGGAAGTCTTCAGATTGCTTCTTGGTGAAAGCAATGGCCAGAAGATGCAGATGGAGGTAGACAGAAAGCTTTACAAAAGGTCACATACTTGTAAGGCTCAGGAAGAAAAAAAAGATGGAAGAGAGAGTAGGACATGTGATCTAGGAGAGAAACGACAGTTCCATGGTAGAAAATCTTGAAGGAGGGAGAACGGCCTATGCTTAGGAGCAAAATGGGGAACATACATGTAATCTTCTCTGTAATCCTTCTCTGAAGGAAGGCGATGAGTATTACATTCATAAAATGTGTGAACATTAAGACAGATGTTTAGGAAAGTTAAAGGAATAATTTCAGTGAAGTGTGGATAAAGATTCCTGGTGGTACAAATGGTTAATAAGCACTAGGCTGTTCATCCAAAGGTTGTAGGTTCCCTGGGAAAAAGATCTGGTGACCTGCTCCCATAACGACTACAGTCCAGAAAATCCTAACGGACAATTCTATTCTGTCACATTGGGTCACAATGCATGGAAAATGCACAGGATGGCCTCTACCAACAATAACATGATCATGCCCATTGGTAAAAGGCCCAACAGGTTTGGTAGAAATGCCTTTAGTAATGTGATGCTGAAAGGGACCTGAGAATTAGTGAAGGCCAGTTTCAGTCTGGAGAGCAGGAACTTTTACGGAACCAAGTGATTTCTTAAGCGTATTCAGCAAAGCTTCAAGGGCAAATTCAAAACAAAGCAAAGCACATTCGAATAAGTCTATTAAGAAAATAAAAACTAATGTTGAGTGGCACCTTACTTGGGGGGGTGGATGTTCTTAATGATGTATTTTATTAACATTTTAGTCATTATACAATGAAATATAAACATTCAAAATATTCAGCAAACAGGTTCTCTGGGAAATTTCAAAAACAGAAAGATTGTTGGAGTGAAAAATCTATGAACTGTTTTGTTTCTTTTTTGCATGCTAGCCTAAGGGAAAATGGAATGCTCACATTTTATTTGCATTAGACACATTTTCCATTCTTTGCTATTAAAATAAAACCCTTATAAACCATTGACATTCTATCAGCATATTAAAATGTATTACATTTACAACAAAATTTGCACTTTAATGCTTCTGTGAGCCAAACAAATGAAAAAATATCCAGGCGGATTCAAAAGCATGATGAGGTAATTTCCATGATGGCACGAGACAGCACTTCCTATTCCCTGCTGTCCCTTCCCCATTCTGGGAAGTGCGGGGAAGGCACATGTTCAGCTATTTTGTATCACAGTTCAACCCTGTAAAGGATTGTCAATTAAGTTCAGATTTAACTACAAATTGCAGAGAGATGGTTTTTCAGACATGGCACTCGGTTAACTTTTCCTCATTTATTTTTGCAGTCTTCAATTACAGAGCGTATCATTCAGTTTAAAATTCAAGACAGGAGTGAGACATATGTAGCTAACACACACATTAATCAGTTTCTCTCCAAAAACCCATTTGTAATTTCCACAAATCTATCAACATTTTCACACAATATGGTCCCTTCAATATAAGGGGCAGTAACATAAACAAAATCTTGTTACTCAAGTGATTACTATAAAAGTGGCAACTCCCCCCCCCCCCAAAGGAACCTAAGGACATCAGCAGCTATATGCTAGAGCAATAGAATGCTCAAAACCCTAATAGCTTCACGGAGTCCCATTTTTTAGCAGGTGGTATCTAAGTAATGAGTTATTTACAAAAAATAAAACTCAACTAGTATTGACAGGCTAGCACAAACTGACTTGAAATGAAAGTAGAGAACAGCATTAAAGCAACGATTTTCATGTGTACTGCTTCCATACCTCAGTTCATTAAACAAACAAACAAACATCAAATTAAAAGCTAAACTGGAAAAAAGCCAGAAAATAAAACCCATCCACTGTAATCTATGTCAGAGGTTCTCAACCTGTGGGTCGCGACCCCTTTGGGGGGTGGTCAAACGACCCTCTCACAGGGGTCGCCTGATTCAGAACAGTAGCAAAATTAGTTATGAAATAGCAACGAAAAATAATTTGATGGTTGGGGGGTCACCACAACATGAGGAACTGTATTAAAGGGTCGGGGCATTAGGAAGGTTGAGAAGCACTGATCTGTGTCCTTTACTCTCTTGTGAAATCATTAGAAGACATGAAGGATTGGCTTTGTCACCTGTCTTTTCCCTGTCTGTAAATTCCTGGGGGGAAAGCACTCACCTGTCAGCCTCGCGGTGCAGTAAGCACGCGGAAGCTGACATTTAAGAAATAGCCTTTTCCGGGGGAGAGCAGAGGTCCGCAGTTGGAAAGCAGGGAACCCTTTACAATCTATCCTCCATTTCGGCTTCCTGTTGCCTCATCAAAATACGTTCCAAGTAAAGTCTCTGTGGGTCTCCGTTGGGTAGTGCTATATATTAAAACACTAAAAAATGTGGGGTCAGATTCGACCCTGGGAAGGGGGAGTGGTTTGAGGAACAAACCTAAATGCAAATGAGTTGGATCAATGATAGCAAGGAACCAGCGGGGATTAAAGGAGTGAAGGGTGCAAACTCACCTGGAGGAGAAGCAGAAGCTGCACACTAGTCAAAGGTCAAAGGGCACAACCTCACAGGCTCCCTGGACCCAGGAGAAGTGAAACGCCTTAATTTGGAGTCTCACCGCCAAGGATGCCGACCGAGATTTGGCGGTTCCTGCCTTTGACACCAAGGAAAACCCCTGCCATGCACTGTTGGGGTCGACGGGGAAGCAAAGGAACACCTGATTCAAATTCTTAAGCGGGGGCCCGGGAATGCCCGTGCACCCACCCCCCACCTAAAACCGCTCCCGCGACGGAGGCCAGAGCCACCTTCACTCTCGTTCCTCACTTTCTCCAGGCCCTCTCGCTCTTCACAGCATCGGTTTCCATGGCGACCTGAAACCGCAGTTCCCATTGGCCCGTTCAATATAAGGGCCGGGCCAATGGCGGCGGTCAGCCCTCTCCTTCCGACCAATGGGGCTGGCGGGGAGCAGGTCCGGGGACGGCGGCGTGCTGACGTTCCCGGGAGCCCGGGGCTGGCTGGCAGGCGGGCTGGCGGCTGGGCGGGCGGCGGCAGCGGCCTCTGGGCAGCAGAGGGGGCTCCGGGGCTGTCCTCGTCGACGCCGGCCGCGGAGGCGGCACCATGGGCACGGGGTAGTGGGGCAAGTGGGCCACCGCCGCCGACGGGGGTGGTGGGAGAACCGCTCCCGGGGCGGGGGCGAGTGGGGGCGGCAGGGGCGGGCAGCTGCTCGGCCCCGGCACTTTTTTCAGTTTTCCGGGTGCCGCAGAGGCGACCCCGCGGAGCCGATGTCCCTGATTCCCGGAGCGACGACGGCCGCTGCCTAACCTGGAAAGTAAGTGTGCGGGCTGGCGGGAGGGCGCCGCGACCACAGCCCGCGGGAGCCCGGCTCGCGCCCCTCGCGCCCGCCCGCCGGAGCCCCGACCTGCCTGCGCGGGGCGCGGGCGCCTCCCTCCCGTTACTCCGTCCCCAGCGCCGCGCGGCCGCCTCGGCTTCCCTGCCCCGCCTCGTGTTCCTGCCCGCACTCGCCTGCCTGCTCCCCTCCCCCCGGCGGGCGCACAAGTTTCACCCTCCATTTGCTTTTCCCGACGTTTACGCCCCTGGGTCTCCCCTCCGCCGGGCTCGCGACCCCTCCGCACGCCGTCCATTCCCGAGCCGGAGCCTGAGAGCCCCTGCCCCGAACTTGAGCGCCGGGCCGAGCCTTCCTGGACTTGTGCCCGGTGGCTTGCCCGTTCCAGCCCGCCTGGCACGCCGCCCCGCGACCCTACCCGCCGCGGTGCCCGCCTCGAGGCTTCGGGCCGTCTGTCCGTACCCCAGCCCCCACCCCCCAGCCCCGATCCTGCATCCTGGCACTCTCCCCTCCTCCCACACCCCTGCTGCCCGCACCACTCGCGTTTGCCCCCAGCCCCGCTCCTGCACAGCCCCTCGGGGCCGGGCGCCCCTCTGTGCTCGCGGCGCGTCTTACGCTCCGTCCCAGTCGCGAGCCTCTCGCTGCTCGCCCGCCGCCTCACCGCTTCCTCCTCTCCCTGCCCGGAGTTGAAGCGGAGCTGCGGCACCTTCCTGGCGGATTGGTGTCCCTGCCCGCCGCTCCGGCGGTGCTTTCCCCTTTCGCCCAGCCGGGGGAGCGAGGGGGCGGGCCGCGGGGCCGGGATTTGGCTGCGCGTTGGCGGAGTGCGACAAACTGCGAGCTCGGGCCGTGGAGGCGCCGCGGCGGCCGTGGCCGCTCGGGGCGCAGCAGTAGGCAGGTGTGTGTGTGTCCAGGGTGGGACGCGCGCCGCCGGTCCCTGGGCTGGGGACAGATTGTGCAGGAATGCGAGGAATGCACCAGGGGCAGAGTCCACACAGCCCGCCGGGGCTGCTCGGCTGCATTTGTGCCTTAGGGACCCAGCTCTCGCCTCTCAGCCAGAGGTCACCGGAGCATCTTCGGAGCTGGTGAGCCTCGTTCCACTCCTCTCCTCGCTCCTTGCGGCAGATTGGGCGGTGGGGGAGTCGGGGGCAGCGCAGCAGTTCTGGGCTCCAGCTAGCCTTTCATCTGGGGTTTTGCAGCATTAGGGCTGTGAATTTGGGGTTGATGATGGTATTGCCAAGGTTATTGAGCATTGCACAAGGCTCTTTCCAAGTTTGGTTTGCAAGGTTTGGATAGTGCATGGTTTTTAGGAGGATTTTCTGAAAACCTGCAGGAACACGGAGGCCAAAGGTTCTTAGAGTGATGAGGATGCAGCCAGTTATATTTTAGCTCCATCAAAAAATGACTATTAGTGCTCACGGTCAGGGATATGCTGCACGAGAGATTTTGAATGCATCACTCTGCTGTCATATGAATTTTTTTTCCCTGTTACACTAGGCTGTGTTAAGACCTTGTATAATACATAATGACTAGACACAGAGAAGCAGTGTTTGGTCAGCGATGGGACAGATAGAACTGTCTGGTACAGTTAAATTCGGGGAGTGTCAGTTACCATTGAAAGTAACATGGGGGCACCATGGCATATCCAATTCAAGATATAATTTATTAGTGGAAGTCACAGTTCTTTCTCTTCTTGCTAGAGTTTGTTTAAAAAAACAAACAACGGCCCTACAACTTTTAAACGAATGGCAGGCAGCTCACTCATAGGTGAAACTGATAGTGGTTAGTTTGCATTTGGGGTCAAATTTCATTTTCCCTAATGCAAAAAAGCAAAATCTTGGTTGAGGATGCTTGGCAGTATCAAGCTCAGAATCTTGTATTTTTGAAAGGAAATTGTAAGAACATTTCCCTTTGAATGCAGCATATGGCTGTAGAAGGATCTTCGTTTCTGGTGCCTGGGAAACAATGATGGAAAATGGCAGTGCAATCATACAAACAAGGAATGGCCTAAACGAGTGTCCCTGGGTGTGGGAGAGACAAACTGTATGTGGTTTTATTTGGCACAGTTTGCTTTGGAGGGTTAAGTGTGCTATCAGCCTCTCCACAGTTCGTTAATCTGTTTAAGATTCAGAAAATAACATCAGTTGCCGAACGTATCAACTGTATTCCAACATCTACTTTGTGTGAATCAAGAGTATTGTAAAAAGATGAGAGATTTTTAGTAAAGGACCCAAGGAAAAGAAACTAGAAAAGCATGCTTTGCATGGGGAGAGGTTGTGGATTTGTGTGTGTGTGTGTGGCTGCTATTGTTGTCCAGGTATGCCCATAATCAGTGAACCCTCTAATTTAGAGGCTTAATGTATGCCCACTACCACACTGCAAAGACCCTGGGAAGTGCTTGCAACTGCCAGCAGGAAACTTTCATTACATAATGCTATCCTATTACAGTAGAGTTTAACACGTGCTTTTTTTATTTGATGTGGAGATTAGAAAGTAAAAGCAAATTGAGTTTCTCTGCTGCAGAAGCAATTGAAATAACTATTCAAGTATATAGATATTGTATATACCTGATTGGTTGTGCAGATAGTTTTCCCTGCTTCAGAAACCTTTCAGTTAGAAATACGGCATTTAAACTTCCAGGCCTATTGCTAAATGTTAGGATGATTATATTCTATTGGTTACAGGCATTTGAAGAAAGGAAGTTTTAAAATGGGTAATTTTTAAATTACACAATGCAGAATAGAATAAACTGTGTTTTGATCAATGTACCTTCCCACCCCGCCCCACCCCCACTGTTAAATAATAAGGGTACTCTATATTTGGGGTCTTGTATATTTTTCCAAATATTCTACTTTGGGGAAACTTAACTGTTTACTTATCTTGATCCTTACAGATAAGTTTTAGGAGAAAGGTAATAGATTAGGGAATAAAGCAGTGATGGAAAATTTAAGAGAAGATACACAGGAACATAAATAAATGCTCCATTCGTGTGCTGACTAAAAGAAATGTAATGTTCTGGCTGGTTATAATAATGGAATTTGAATGAACTGGAAGGTTGACAGTTCGGTCCCATCAGCCACTCACAGGAGGCAGCTGTGGCAGTTTACTGCCTTCAAGCTGCACAGCCTAGGGGCAGTCTCTGCCCTACAGAGTCATTACCAAACTCCTTTTAATAAAAACTGTGCAATTGTATGACCTTGAGTAATTTTTATTCAGTCAGAGTAGCACTTTTCTTTCTTTTCTGAACTATATAAATCAGCAAAGTAAGTTTAATGAAAACAATTGAAATAATAGTCTTTAAAGTCCAGTTGTCAATTTTTAAACTGGGTAAATTCTGTGCTGTTGACCAGGATCAATTTAAGTACAGAATGTTCTTACCCAGGATGAACCTCAACCCCTTACCTAGGCTTTGAAATATTAATGTATTTTGAGGGTATGGCATAAACGTTTTTTCCCTATTTCAGTTTTAAAGTGGATACCATATCTTTATTTTTAATTGGAAGATAAAAGCATAGGTTATTCTAGGACATACACATCCAATGGATTGGATGTCACTTTGGGAAGTTTACTTCACGCCTTCGTTGTATGGGAAGATAATTACTCCCTGGATGTGTTAAATGGTTCTGTAGTGCTCTTCCTGCAAGGATGAACTGATTTTCCTGAAGGCTAACTCCAATAGAGTTTGCTGAATAAAATAATTGTTTCACAACACTAGTGCCCATAGTCACAAGTAGAAGAGGGAACGATTTAAGGAAGTAAGAGTGTAGGGCTTCATGTGCTACTAATGAGTGGTGACTACAGTCGCCAAGTCGATTTGATCCCCGACTGAGAGGATGGCAGGGTCCTTTCAGGGCAAGGGGGCTCAAGCAAGCTCTGTGCAACAAGGAGCAAGAACTCCTCTGCTTGCTGAAGTCTGTTGGAGAGGAACACACCATTCAGCTGTGTCTCAGATTGTTTAACTATTGGATCTTTTAGGGATACGTTAGTATTGGGAATGTTGCAGAACGGTTTGCTCAGTGGAACTTAAAAGCTGTGCCATTTTTCATTGGCCTGAGTTGTTTTTCTTTTTATAATTGTACGTTTATTTTTTGTTTGATACACTAATAAATGTCAGTTACCTCACTGATCATTTTATTATTCAGCCTTGATAGCACCGTTTATTGTGGCTCATATATAATGAACGATTCATTGCTGATGATAAAATGCTGCTATGGATTGGGTTATAAAGTTTTAATACTGTAAAATGTATAAATTAAAACATGGCAGTGTCTGAATTATTTTAAGCCATGCCATCATGAAGCATTTTTCATGAAGTGAATGATGCCAGGTGATTTGATGGGTACCAATCCCTCTAGGTCAGTGTTGGTTCTTGTATGCCTTACGAAGTCCAGGACACATATGAAGGATGAGGAGGGAGGGGCCAGGGACACCAGTGATGATCTCTCCTGAGAACAGTTATCTTTTGTAGTACATACAGTGATGGCAAATGCCCATGGTGTCAAGCCGGCTGTTCCCTGATGTGCCCCCTTTCTTGTCCCTTGCCACCACCAAACACCTGTCTGCTTTGAGATGAAGAGCAACCTCATTGAGTTTAGAGAGTGTGCATTTCTGTTGTACACATAATATATGGGAAAATTATGGAAAATGCGTAGTTGAAATATTAGAGTACAATGTAAGCCTTTGGAGCCTGCCTTGTAACTGGTACTATCATTTTTCATAGAAACCTACTCCATTTAGAAAGAGACCTTGGAAACATTGGGTAGGTAATTTCTGAAACTCAGGTCTATTATGAATCCACCAATTGCAAACTTGAGAGCCTAGTGAAAGGCACCTTGGGCCACTAAAATTAGGAGACAGGTTTGAACAAACAAGCAGTTCAACATCTTTATTACCGAGTGCTATTAAAAATGCAAGGGTTGGGTTGCATAAGATCCATTTTAACTCAAGGGTTCCCATACTCTGCAGTGTCTTTTTTATATGGTTAAGAA